GCTGACGAGTTCTACCGAAATTTGATGAATTCATTAAATACTGCTTTATTAACCTCTTTTGTTCAGCGAAGAAATTTCTTTTCAACGACTTCATTTTCAAGCTGTACAGTCGTATTTATATTACAGAAGAAGGTTATTAAGTGGCACTAAATAATTGCTCAGTCAATGTACGTATATATGTGATAAAAGTTATGAGGGGTAGAGTTGAAGTGGATAAATTACAAAAATATTAAAGATTGTTCTATAACAAAAATGTCAAGTGTTGTCTAAAAATTTTGAAAATTAGGAGTACGATTATGATAAGAATGAAGATGTGAAGTGAAGTGGAAAGAATTCAAGTGGTAAAATAAAATAAAAACTAGAAAGAACATTATTATGACCAAGGTAAAGAAAGGGGTTTGATAAAACGCTTTTGAACACATAATTTAGGTTTCTGTTGATGTATAGCTAAAGCTTCGGCTATGCATAAGTGAAGAAAACGTAAACTTTTGGAACGGTTCGATTTTGCCATGTAGATAACTTTGAAAGATGAATCACGTGGGGCTAAATGACCAGATTCTAACAGGTGATCACAAATAGACGACTTTGCAGTTCTACGTTCGCCTTTCATTAACCAAACCGGATAGTGTTCAGCTACACGTTTTCGGAGATTACGCTTACAACGTCCAATATAAACAGCTCCACAAGAGCAGGTAAAAGAGTAAATACACATAGATGTGGACAAAAGCGGTAATCTATCCTTGACGCATTGTCTGATCATATTTCGGCTGGTAAAAACTAGTTGCAGGTCAGCTGCAGGAAAAGTGCGTTTAACACATTTAGATAAACGACTTTTAATCAATTCTGAAATGGTGTCACCTTTGAATGCAAGACTCATAAACAGCTTTTTCTTTGGTACTGTGACTTGTCTCGGGGCGGATTCTTTCTTGATATTACGTTCAATGAACCTTGTGGGATAACCATTGTTAAGGAGATTTGATCGAAGGTTATCTAGTTCCCTATCGATTGTCTCTGCAGAGCAGATTTTACGAATTCTGGAGCATAAGGAATGAATAAGATTTCTCTTTCTCCCTAAAGGTACCCAACTGTTGAAGTTAGTGTACTGCCCAGTGAATGTTGGCTTTCGGTAAATCGACCTTAACAGCGTTCCATTCTCTCTTCTATCTAGCTTAACATCAAGGAAGTGAAACGAAGAATCCGACTCTTCTACGATCGTGAAAAGCAAAGATGGGTGAGAACCATTAAATAATCTAAGAAGTTCGGCAGTTGAAGTTATTAACTTTTATTGGTTGTTTTAAAATATGAAAGTGGTATGAACATATTGAAACGAGTATGACTATTTAGATAAATGTTTCATGAAATTGTGTTTCAATGGTATAAATACGAGATAATGAGCTATATAGAAAATCAAAACAAGTGATTCAGAGAAGCAACTCTTTTCAACGAATTTATTATCAAGCTGAACAACATTATTGTGAGATAATGGTAGTTATTTGGGACCATTTATGAATTAATGAGCAGAAGTCGTGACAGATATTGCTCTTACCATTACCAAATGAAAAAAATAGTAGAGTGAATATCGATCGAGTGCACTTCATTTGATTTCAACACTCCGTTCGAGTAATATTAATGTAGGCGATAGAATTACTGTCTCAGTTTCTTGACCCACGGCAGTAAATGATTTAAAAATTATGATTGTCAAATATCGTCGCCTGTATCTACAATAAAACATTAGTAATACCATAATTTACACAGTAATTATCGAATGAAGAATCTGTCCCAAGACTTTAAAAATTTTGTGTTTGTAACACAATAACCAACAGGTAAAGTAAATTCATAACTTTCAAGTGCATACAGGAGTTCATTTATTATTTTTTTCCACTGATAAAGTGCGATTCGCTCCCACCAAATGCAAAATGATGTTACAGGACTGGACTACATCGACGCCTAGTTTAAAAATACGAAGTGAAGTGGTAGAGCACGTTGACCGCTTCACTTATTTGGGAAGTACCATCAGCCCCAACGGGCTGATCTCTGACGAAATCTCAGCACGAATACAGGGGGCTCGTTTCGCATTTGCCAGTTTACGCCGACTCTGGCGCAGACGAGATGTTCGACTATCGACCAAAGGGCGGGTGTACTGCTCATCAGTCCGCTCCGTCCTCCTTTATGGTTGTGAGACCTGGCCATCGAGAGTGGAAGACATGAAAAGACTAGCTGTCTTTGATCATAGGTGCCTGCGTTCTATTTCCCGTGTAAAGTGGCATAATAAGGTGAGCAACATTGAGGTTAGGCGTCGAGTTCTAGGTAAACAGGGGAAATCAATCGACGAAGTCGTGAAGTTACAAAGACTGAGATGGTTAGGACATGTGTTACGTATGCCATGCCATCGCCTCCCTCGACGAGCAATGTTAGCGGATATAGGCCCAGGCTGGAAAAAAGCTAGCGGCGGTCAAACAAAAACTTGTCACCAGTCAATCAAATCCACAACAGTTGGTCTAAGCCACGTAGGAAGGTGTAGACTTCCAGGCTGGGGTCCTCGGGACGGTAAAAATCTATGGTTGGAAACAATTGGTGACATGGCTCAAAATCGTTCTCAGTGGCGCAGATGCATCCACTCCTTGTGCCTTATGATCTCCAATGAAACTGTTTTGTTTTTCTTTATTACTCCTTTGTCTCACACCTCTGCTCACTGTCTCTATTATGCTTTTCTTTTACTTTCTTCTCTTGCTTCGCGTGCTACACGGAGTGTGGCGACTTGAACTTCCGCACATTTGTGCAAAGTTCTATGTCGAAAACAGACAGACAGATAGACCACTGATAAAGTTATTTACACATATACGATCATGTTTGTTTAAATCTATTCAACTCATTCTTATCATAGTTATCTTTTTTCTCTCCATCGTATTGGCATGAATAGCTTATCATATTTACTTTAAAGTTTGTACTATGTATGAAGAGCAAACCATTGATACATTCATATTGAGACTTTAATTAATACCTAGCCATATCTACAGATACTGTGATTTATTAACATATATCTTGCTTTAGTGGCTAAGTAGCCAATCAAAAGCGCCTCCATTCTAGATGATAATCAGCTTCCAGTTTAGTAGATGACCTTCATTGAATTAATCATGTACATTTTTCACTGTATAATATCACAAAACGTTCTTACAAAAATTCATTCTTATACACGTATCAAATAAACGGAATACGGAGATACGACACAATATATTTTCAACATGACATAATCATGACAATACAAAATCATCAGTCATTTTCAAAATTGTGTTTTATGATCTTCAAATAACCTGAATATATTAATTTCGGAATCTAGACAGCTCGTGCATGCAATGCCAGTCAACGTTTTCTTAGTGTTTCAACACTTTTGTGTTGACTCATTAATAAGAATTTAAAGAACACAGTTTCTCTACATATATCATTCTTTAAAAACTAAACTAAGACATACTATACAAATAATTCATTTTTCAAAAAAAAATAAAATGTTTTCATCTGACTAGCCTGGTCTTCCAAGTCAGATATGCAGAAAAATACTGAACTATGACATCTGCTTGCAGTAGTACTATTGTAACAACAGAAGACAAGGGCCAGGCAACAGATCGTTTTATTATGAAAATCAACACGTATTTATACATCTTTCAACTACATTATTATAGACAAGCGCAGTCATCTGATTGGTTGTTTAGGTAGACAAACGCAGGCTTCTGATTGGTTGTTTCGGGATTCCTTGACAAATAGAGTTCTCTCTGCGAATCATATTCTGCCACGTTAACTTTGCTGTGATTGGTTGTTGACTCAGGCTTGTTCATATTTGCTCACGGCCCATATTAGTGACCTAGACCTTAACGTAGATTAGTGCCAACCAATCGGCTAGCAGCCTGCTCTCACCACACTCGTCCCCCCGTCAAATACGTGCGACTGAAGTCGGCTTGATCTACTTGGTGCAGGCGTCATCGTTGGCTTGTCTCGCTGTATCCATTTCTGGAGCTCGCTGACGTTCACGCGCCTCTCATTGTTCGCCATTGCGACTGTGTCTGCGTAACCCCATCTCGAAGTGACCATATATGGTCCTTCCCACTTTGGAAACTGTTTGCCTGACCCTGTCGAACACTCGTCCATACTTCGGCTCACACTTTCATATGCTGCTTTCACCCGACCTCCCAGCAGCGTCCCAAGTAGCAGCTCCATCGCTGACAGATCTTGAACGCCACTCAACTGCGCAGAAGCCTTGAAGTCCTGCCCGAAGATCCATATGTCTCCATCAAAAACAGCAGGGCATAGGCTTTCCATTTTTCGGTAGGCAGCGACACCAAATGTAACAACAGAAGACAAGGGCCAGGCAACAGATCGTTTTATTATGAAAATCAACACGTATTTATATATCTTTCAACTACATTATTATAGACAAGCGCAGTCATCTGATTGGTTGTTTGGGTAGACAAACGCAGGCTTCTGATTGGCTGTTTCGGGATTCCTTGACAAATAGAGTTCTCTCTGCGAATCATATTCTGCCACGTTAACTTTGCTGTGATTGGTTGTTGACTCAGGCTTGTTCATATTTGCTCACGGCCCATATTAGTGACCTAGACCTTAACGTAGATTAGTGCCAACCAATCGGCTAGCAGCCTGCTCTCACCACACTATTTGGCGCTAATTAGTGGTAATTAGAATTAACAGATCGGTCACTGGATTCCGTCTCACTGGCTGAATGGTCAGTAGGCTCTGCCATGACGTGAACTTTCTGGGTCCCACCCCCTGTAGGGTCATGGATCCGTGCCGTTGAGGAGAAAGAAATAGCTGTTTACTGCTCTCTGGTTTTCAATGGTTCGATAACTATTGTCAGCTTATGATCTAACTTGAAAATAGTGTTGAATACTTAACAAAAACTAAAATAAAACTAGAATTACCAATCTGAATAATAACAAGTAAAACCTTACATTTCACCAGGTGGCAGAAACAAACGTCAGAAGTTAATTGTTGATAAACAAGCTGTTCTATTTAATACAACTACAGGTAATGTACTTTTTTTTCAATATAAAAATAGGTGATACAAACTTGATATATATTAGTGAAAAGACATACTCCTTACTATTACCTCGATTAAGCAAAACAACTGCATGTACAATAATACAAGGAATGAAGTGACTTTCGCTCTCCCAGGCAACACTAACTATAATTTATAGTGTTTCATCCTACTGTTAAAAGAACACAGACTTCAATCATATCAGTAATAAGCAATGCTTGTAAAGGTTATAAAAGGAAGTAAACATTCACTGATTATCACAAAGTGAAAGCAGATGGTTTGCAAATAGTTAACAATAGTGGAAAACCTGTCAATTGATCACTTTTGTATTGAAAAAGATCTTACTTTTTTAAATATGTAGTTCTATACTTAGCACATTAAGTTAACTTACAGAGAGTTTTTGTCACTACTCACTCACTGACGTATCACAAAAATGAAATCAGTCTATACTCTAATAAGCAATCAACAGAGACTGAAATAGGTTGAATGGATACACTTCAAACATTTTAAAGCATAGTTAATAAATACAAGTGTAAGTGAAAACAACTTCTTTGTAAAGAAACATCGTTATCCCCCAAAACTATTTTTCTTACCACAGAATGCTTTAAGAAAGCTGAGAATGAAGTGATGATAAAATAATAAGTAAGGGGATTGAAATGAAATTTATCAAAACAATAATCCCATTTTTGTTAGAGTATTTGAGGAAGTTGGTAGCTGGCTAGTCGAACAAATAATGTCAGTCAGTCATTCAGTAATTAACATAGTTTTTCATTTCTTCAAACAAGTGTGTGTTAGTGTCATGCATTGTGGACAAAAAGAATAGTGTTTATTTTACATTCTGCTAACAAAATATCACATCATCATAATATCCATGTGAGCAAAAGTAAACAAAATGTGTGGTCGTCATTGTATTATCATTCAATTTTTAAGCGTTGACAAAAGCTGTGCATGACTGAAACGATTCTAGTGACAATGAAGTATGGTTGTTAAATATTATCTCAGAAAATATATGTTTATGCTTTTCTTTAGAATTCTTGATTTCATGATTATGTGAAAATCTTGTAGATGACGCTTCTTTTTGTTTCGGATCGAGGGAATTTTCTAGATTTGTTTTTCTATCAGCAACTTTGCTCTTTTTTTTTAATACAACTGATGTTCATTTGACTTTGGTTGTAGTTTCCTTGTAGTGGACGTACACTAGTACTGAAACTAGACGTTGTTTGACGTGAATCGATTATAAAATCTCTCGGTTTTGGGTCCATAATTTTTGTACTATTTTTATTCTTGGATGATGTGCTATGATTTATATATGAATCTCGTTGATAATGTGGAGGTAATATTGTCTTCGAATAGGCGTCAGATGAATTCGGTGTAACAAAATACTTTTTATAATCTCTTAGTTGTTCTTCTCTTGTCATACCGGTTGTAGGACGAATTTTCTGTAGACGCTTAGCCAATTCCTTGAATTTATTTTAATGCAGAAAGAAGATATAATTGCTTCCATGCTAAGAACTTTTCAAATACAAATTCTGATATGTAAAGATATGAAACTATACTAACACAGAGGAATTTGGAATGTATGAATGATAGAATAAAACCATCTAGTTTCTGAAATTTCAGTGTTCTACGGGTTAAGAATCCAATGTTCACACTACTGGCTCATAGTTGAGAAGAGATGTTTGAACGAAGTGTTTGTGCGTCGGTGGCATAGTGGTTAGGACTCTCGCCGACCATGCACATGGTCCGAGGTTCGATCCCCTGCCGACACGGACACCTGATATCTATGGTCGACCTGCAAAATTTGGGCTACCGATATCCATGCTGAAAATTCCCTACTTGTACCAAAAATACAGTGTGGAATCAAGCTGTAATCAAAAATAAAAATAAATAAAAAACAAATAAATAAGTAAAGCATTTCAACACTTACCTTTGACATCAGTGAACCTAATGTAATAAAAATCAATTAATGTCTGCATTTTCGAGATACTGTTTGACATCTTAGTGAGCGAATATAAATGCAACCAGAGTATAATTACCAAGTAATATGGAATATTAACTTTATATACTACCCATGTATACTTATGGCCTGTGTTACTGGCAAGATTTATCAGTAGTATATAAAGAGATGTTTACTGGCATTAAATATCAAATGGCGGAGAGAAAATGGATGAGTATTGCGGCAAAACATGGGAGACACCAAAAGAAGACAAAGAAATAGAATATGAAGGGTAAAAGTGGCATAGCACGAAAGATCTGTGCAAATGACGATTTTCAAATAGGGTGTACATAATTTCCTTATATAGATATATCAAATTCCAAGGAAATATTCCCTTACCAAGTCTCTTGTCTTCTACCTTTACATATTTAATGCTAAACAGAGCACGACTGCTCCAATCTTCTTTGGATATATAAACATATTTCATTCTTTTATCCACAACATTCGGTTATAGTTGGAAGCATGCTACTTAGTCTGTTAAGCATATATACATACATGAACAGTCTACTTGGTATCAAGGGATGGAAACCGGATTACCGTTTAAATAAATTAATCGGTGGGATACTATTTAAGTCTTTGGATTCTGAGTCATGAGATAGCTTAAATTAATTTACAGAAACGTTAAAACAGAAAGAAGAGTCCTAAACACAAGGGCAGAAATGCATCCACACTTTATCTTACTTATTCTTGCTATCATTGTCGCCACTACATCTCTTCTTTCTTAAACCCATGTCATCTAAACACTTGTATACAGGCATTCTTTATTTCACATATAGATCACCAACAAACAGTAGAAGTTAATGAATCAGTGCTTAGCTATAGCTGTGTATTATGAAATCAAGTTTGAGGTTGAACTTTTCAGATACGAACAAATAAGTAATTTTTGATATTTAATAATTGTAATAAGAAGAGATAGCCCTCTATTCTCTTCTGGATATCTATTTACAAATCAGCTTTGAATCCTCATTTTTTTTACTAAGATTGAGTGAAACTCTTGCAAATCACTTGGGAGATTCCAACGTATAACACGTGCAGGCGAACAAAACGCTGGATACAGGAAGACGTAAGTAAGTAAATTATCGAGGAAGATAAAGACATTAGGTTTTTGACAAAAACGACACATCAGGACAACGAATATACTAAAGATTTCAGCGAAAAAGGTGGTAAAAGGCAAATGATAAGTGAAATAATCTCCAAGAAAAATGACACCATAATTAGCTCTCAGGATAGAAAACTGGAGTGTTGGAAAGAACACTTTGAGGAGCAATTTAATTGGCTGACAGTCATGCTGAACTTAGCCAGCATCCAACACCCCCCTGAATGGGACACAAACACTGGCCCTCCATCCCTAACTGAGGATACTAAGGTTGTCACTAGTTTGGAACGAGGCAAAGCTGCGGGACCCTATGGAATAACTCCAAAGGTGTTTAATTACGGTGAAGACAGTTTACTGTCTGCCTTAACTAAGGTATTAGGCAGCGTCTGGGAATCAGAGGAAGTCCGATCGGATTGGTAAGTCGTTGATTGTCCCGATAAACAAGAAGGGAGACAAGCCTCCCTGTGATAACCACAGGGGGATTAGCTTGACCAATATGGTATCTAAAGTTCTAGGCTCGATAATCATGCGTAGACTATAAGTGGTGATCAGGAGGAACAGACACGAGAGAAACAAGCAGACTTTAGACCAGGAAGACGGTGTATTGATCATATCTTTACCCTTCGACAGATTCTGGAACACAAGCATGCTTACCAGCGTCCAACAATCGTCATATTTCTTGACCTGAAAGCGGCATTCGATTCTGTCGATCGATAAGTACTATGGTGAGAAAAGACATTGCACTGATCAAGGCGCTCTACTCGAACTCAGCCAGGTAAGAGCTTACGGCGAGTTGTCATCTGAAGTGGTGACAACCAGTGGTGTCCGTCAGGGATACCCACTATCCCCATTTCTGCTTAATTTCATCACAGATGTACTAATGGACTGAATCCTGAGTGACTTCAGCGACTCAAGGAGTGACTTGTTGCCGCCAGGGAATAATCTCGTTGACTTAGAATATGCATGCGGATGATATAGTTCTTCTAGGTGATGAAGACGCTGACAAAATAGAGCAGAGTCTTCTCAACACCTTGAGGAGCAGCAGTCTGTGAATGTTTGGCATGCGACTTGCTACTGCTGAATGTAAGATCATCTGGCTACAGGACTGGACTACATTAACTCCTAGCTTAAAGATAGGCGGGAGTGAAGTGGTGACCGAGCGTGTTGATCACTTTACTTATTTGTGGAGTTGCATCAGCCAACGCCAGAGCGTTGATCGCTGACAAAATCTCAGCACGGATACAGAAGGCTCATTTGGAACACATCAACTTTCGCCATCCCTGCAGATGTGATATCCGGCTGGCTGTCGACCGAAGGGCATGTGTACTGCTCATCAGTTTGCTCCGTTCTCCTTTATGGCTGTGAGACCTGGCCATTGAATGTGGAAGACATGAAAAAACTAGCTGTCTTTGATCATACGTACTTGCGTTCTATCTCCCGTGTTAAGTTGGATAATAGGGCGAACAATATTGAGGTTAGGCATCGAGTGCTAAGTAAGCAGAGGAAATAAATTGACGACGTTGTGAATTTACATCGATTGAGGTGGTTAGGACATGTGTTATGCATGCATTCCTAGCCATCGCCTTTCCCAACGGGCAATGTTAGCTGACAACGGATGGATCAGGTTAAAAAAGATCCAGTGGTTGTCCAACCAAAACATGCCATCAGTCAATGAAATCCACAATAGTTAGTTTAAGCCACGTTGGGAGGTGTAGACTTGCTTCCCGGTTGGGGTAATTGGGATGGTAAACACCAATCGTTGGAGATAATTGGTGATATGGCTCAAAATTGTTCCCAATGGCTGGCACAGATTCATCCATTCCTTGTGACTTATAATACCCAATAAAATTATATTGTTCTTCCACATTACTATTCATCATCATTTCTCTGTTTATTATGTTTCATTGGAATCTCGCTTCACTCTCTTCTCTTGCTTTGTGTGGTACATGGAGTGTGGCATGTCGGACTGCTGCACATATGTGCAAAGTTTTACGTTGAAACCAGTCAGTTAGTCAGTAAAGGTTTCGCAGAAGTCTGTTTCAAAAATCCTCATACTGATACAATATTTCTCAGTATCTTGCTGAGTAGAAGACACATATACAAGACTATCTAATCGACAGGGTATGATCAAAAATGATAGACGGTTATTACACACGTATTCAGCGCGTAGGTGGTTCGATTTCAGAATCTCATCAACTTCATGCGTAGCTACGTTACGACTCTCGGCAGACGAAATCTTAAACTTCGCTTAGCTGGTAGTGATCACGGTAAATTGGGAAAACTGGTGGTTAGACTACCAGTCTAACCTTGTAAAAACAAAACTACCAGTACGGAAACTTCAAGGCTCAAGCTTGAAGTTCCATTTCCCACTCGGAAGACAAAGGAATGAAAAAAAAATTGAATTTAATGATTAGATAAAGAAGTGTACGCAAATTTAGCAAACCATCAAATATTATATTTACGTAGTTCTCCATTTGGATCTTCTCATTTTGACGATAGCGATTCAATGTTGAGTGGTACAATCTATGCACGGCTATCTTATCATTGATACATTGGGACGTTGAACGTTCTAATTTTGAAAACGGGCGCTGGTTTTGACATTTTAAATAATCTTCATACATTTTGTAGACTGCAGTTGTCCTGTCACTTGGTAGGGGTTTCGAATTTGGATCTCTCCATGGTGGACGAATATGGAGACAACGCATTTTCGCGTCAAAGGATTTCAAAGCATTTGTAATTTGTGCAACATGAACACACTCATTATTTCTATTATAAATATCACTATTAAGCTCATTATGAAGTGTATGTTCGGTTCTTTTCACTTTTGTAAGCCTTTTAGCATTTACAGTTTGTATTACAGGAGAATTCTGAGAGAACTGGTAATAAGGTTTGCTTATGGTTGAGTCTGTACTGTCACCAGAAGGTGAAAGTGATTGTTTTTCTCTATTCTCACTGTTTTCGTCTGACTGTGCTTCTTTTGCTTTCTTTTTATCGGACTTGTCTGACATATTTTTTTGACTTGTGTCACTACCACCTGTCAAAAACTTTGCATGTGAATAAGCTGATCCACGAAATATTGGGCTTTTATTCTGACTACTTGTGTATTCTGCCTCAGCAATCTCACTGTTTGCTTCTTCGGAAGTGTCATATGTTTCATCGAATGATGAATTTGACTTACATTTTTTATTTGATTCATCCGACCTACTACCTTGCTTTTGACCATTCTGAAAAGCTTCTTCGCTCAATAAATTTGTCTTGTCTTTTGTGAGAGATTCTGTAACAGCTTCACTTGATATTTAATAAAAATGAAAAAAAAAAAAATAACATGCTGCAAACATTTTCACTACAGCCTCGGGAAAAATCAACTTGAGTTAGGCTTTTAAACATAAGGAATATATAGTCTAAAACTGATAAAACCAGCAACTGTTCTTTAGAAGTATTGATTTTCTACAATTGATAGAAGTTTAATATGAATATTAAATTCCAGTTTATAGTCAGTCCTAAATTAAAAAGTTGAGGTAGATACGCCTAGTTATTTAATAGCGTCAGCTGAGTACCTAAATGAAGCATTTTACTTTACCAGAAATAATGTTGTGTGGTAATCTCATAAGTAAACAATCCTGCCATAAGGTCATGCTGGTCACTCTTATCAAGAAACATTTTAATCAGTCAGTTGCTGAAAAATAAATATAACTAACTCCATATTTATTTATTTATTAAATATATCACACAGCGAAACAGCATTATTTACTGAATGACCTTTCGAACACAATTTATTGTTCATAATCATCATATCAAAATTGTTTTCGAAAGGTCATTCAGTAAATACTACTGTTTCACTGTGTGATATATCTAATAAACAAATTAATATGGAATTACATACTACCACAGTGCTCAAGTTTTACACATATTAAAAATGACTAACGTTTTATGCGGATTCGATTTTCACAGTGTATTCATGAGTAAATTGTATGCTCCTTACAGTAATTATAACATTATGAATTACAGTCCAAAGGTATGCATTGCACCCCCTATATCCACTGAATAACAACAAAAACTAAAAGTATGCAAATAAAAACCTTTAACTTTGAGTCTTCTTTTGGTAGTGCATTATGGCTGCAATAACTCTGGTTTGAGTTATGTACACAGATGTTATAATTATAAAAACTAATAATTTCAAGATTGATTACAGACTAACTTCAGTTAGGGAACCACTGAAAACGACAGAGTAATGAACAGTTGTTTCTCTCTCATTTGGGGCTCTTCAATAGTACACACCAGTGATAGAATCCGCTACCACCAGGTTACAATGCGAGCTCATATACCATTCAGACATTGGGACAGAGTCCAATGGCCTATTAATTCTAACTTCTGGCAATTCGCAATATGGTTTACGAGCTTGCCTTGTAATCTGAAGATCTATGGTTCTATCTATAGTGAGATTATGGGGACGTACTTCTGAGGAGCTCAAAACAAGGATGAAGCAGTTGTACCGTACTCCATGATATTAAACGGTTCTCTAATTGAAGTCAGTTCATGACCAATCTTGAAATCAACCAAGTCCTTGCAAACCAAAACCTGAAAAGATTAACAATAACAATATTATTATTGATAATAACAGTAATGATAATAAAGAGCCCTTAGTTACCATGACTGACGAAATTACTTGAATTAATACACAGTCAAATATGACTTTGATACAAAAATGTGACACTCGTCAATGAAATCGATTACTTTAGGTCTTCTTAGAGGCAGATTTGGTATCGAAAATCAGTTTGAAACGTATCATCATGACATAGTGGAGGTGTTGTGGAATCGTAATGCTTAGTCTGCGATCGAAGTTTCAATTGAGTACCAGTCATACACCATTAAAGTTATTCGTTAAGATTATATTGAAAGAAAAGCTATGAAAGTTTGAGACCTGACGCCTGGAGACATTGCGGAAGTTTCTGTTAGAGACTGGTTCCGGCAGGTATTAGGGTATCTAAGATTTCACCCACAACACTTCGTATTGATTAGTCTATTCTTACTGATGATCAATGAAACTATCTTATAGAATAAAAGTAAGTGTTATCAGGCAGCTTTAATCCCTATATAGATGTAGATCTTTATTTTCAGAAAGCATTCTGATATGTTGATGATTCCTGCAATAAATGACCCATTTTAAAATGTCTTGACCCGGTAGTAACTGATATCAATACTTCAATTTCCATAGATATATTTTCACATAATCCAGCTGGTAAACACTTCAAGTGCAGCCTGACAACGTTGACTAGTGTCAGATATTTACTGAATAACCCAGGTGACTGTTACCCACATGTGTATTCCCAGATCAACAATTAAATAAATGATAAATTGGATTTAATATTATTCTATTGTCATTCATGATGTATATAGAATGTTGATTCCTTTTAAACCCGCTTCAATGCTGAAATTTTTTAATGCTCTGTGAATTTTGATCTACATATTTCAAACACTTCGACAACCTCAGTTATGCCCAAAACGTTTCTCTGGGTTTTCTGCTCAAATTTAAGAGTAGAATTTGAACAGTATAGTAGAATATAAATCCACATTACAATTCCTTCAACAACTGATATCACTGAGAGAACAACTGGAAATTAAGGAATACTAGACACGTGTTCTTTTCTTAGTCTGAGTCAGTTCAGTAGTAAGTACCCACGACCTCCCGGATACGAGGCCTCATAACTGACGTTATTTCACTACCTACCTTGCAATCAGTGAAACCCCTGAAAACCAACACTTAAAAATTACAGAAGAGATAATGTTATGTACTCGTCGCTAATTTTATTGTTATGGTCTGGTCGAGAAACTAATAGTCCTGACGCGAGAAGGCGGAAATCAGAAGACCACTAGGTTTGCGATGATACTTCTATTGTCCAAACACAAGGAGACGAAAATAAATGGTCTCACACCAAAGTGGTAAGTAAGTAAAGCAGTTCACACAGAATGTGTGAACGAAATATATATATATATATATATAACAAAATATATATAGCAGACATGTCAAACAACCATATATGGATATATGTCACTAAGCAACGGACTGTCAACAAACACTCATATTATATATAATATAAATGGAATATACATTGATAAAGGAGACAAGTTCATACAAGTGAAATGGTCACAGACTAAGCGGGCAAACAGAAAGAGAGACCAACATACACACACACATAAATATATATATAAATGGATACATATTAGATAAGTTTTACTGATATAAGTATAAAACTTGGGCAATGTGGTACGGTATAACTCCACTATAGATAAGATTTTATTTTGATAAATCACCACAGTGTTATACAGTAATATTAACTGATATGACTGTATAACACTGTGATTTATCAAAATAAAATCTTATCTATAATGGAGAGATAAGTTTATTCGAATCAGCGCATACTGACACTGTACCAATAAGCAAATGACATTTCGTTTCAATGTCACATTGATGTGATTAGGAACAATGAATTGCGCTCGAAATGTCAACTAGTTATTAATACTGTATCACTGTGTTATATCACATAAAATTATCCAATGTGGAATTTCTGTCCGAAAATGTCAAAATACACCCGAAGTTTCTGTTATAATTGGGTAGTTGAAACAATATGAACGCCGAAAATTTGAAGAATACATTTCTCTTGTCATCGAAAAACAGTCCCAGTCTGCTAATCTCAAACATCTTGACAGCCTCAAGCAGGTAGTAGCAGAAAAGAGATTTCCGACTGATCCCAATAAATATGTATTTAATTATTCTTCCGTCACTCTTTCTGAAACTCAACTACAAGTCCTATCACTAGGTTCCAAGTTATGTAACAGTTCGTCCAAAGCCAACAGGTTGCATACTCAAGTGCAATTCGAAAATCTAATTAACCAGACAAACAATCTCACGTCCACATCACCTCAGGAATTCCAACACTTTAAATCTACAGTTCTTGATTGCTGTCATCAGTTTACTAATTCAAAACTTAGCTCGAATAATCTTCTGGCCAAAGAGCATATAGACCAACTAGAGAAGGATGATGATATTGTGATATGCCATCCAGACAAAGGTGGGGGTGCTGCAGTTATGAAACGTCAAAATTACAATGATAAAATCTCACTGATTCTTTCTGATCAAATGAAATTCGTCAAACCCGACGGTGAAAAGAACAAGACACATCTAATTGAAAATTAACTGACTGATGTCTTAAAGAACATGAGGAATAAGTCGGTAATCTCGTCAGATATATATGAACACATACGACCAGTAGGCTCCATAATAACCGTTTGTATGGACTACCAAAAATTCACAAGACAGGAATACCCCTTCGTCTAATTCTCGATATGGTGGGTTCTCCTTATCACGGAATCGCTCAATGGCTAGCTGAAATAATGGAACCAGTTACAAGGCAAATGTCTAAGTTTTCCATTGATGATATGTTTAAATTTATTGAGAGTATTTAAGATTTTAATGTCTCAGACAAAGTCATGTTCTCATAAGATGTGACTTCGCTATTTACCAATGTACCTCTCATGGAAACTGTTTGCTATGTATGCGATTATACTGATACACATAACATAACAAATAACAATGTACATTCAACATACTAAATTATATATGAAATTATTGTTGTAAGAGAGTTTAGAGGCTGACGGTATTGACGTTCGCGAATTATACGGAGTATCCTAACGCAAGATCTTATACCAACAACTTCTATAGTATTCGTTTTTCGTGGACCAAAGGCAAAGCTAAACAAGTGGATTACTTTTACAAATAACGAGATATACAATTGGTGGATGGTGGCTAGCAGTGGAATCCAGGATGCGCCTTTCGTCGAAGCATCTGCACAAGAAGCCGACATGTCAACCTGAGACCGAGCACTTCGGTCCAAACAATCGACGGGAAAATCAAAAATTCAATTCAATAACGAGATATATTTCGGAACCGAAACGGATTGCGAGTTGGCAGCTAAACTGGCTAGTGATCGTGCATGCATGTGACACAACAGAGTACTATATGGCATGAATGCTTGACCGGAAGCCATCAGCTAAACAAGTTGACTTAAACAGAGAGGGTCAACATCCAATGTTCAGTGATGATTGCTGTGGTCGAAAATTTTGGGGAATTATTTACCGCTACAAAAGTATATTTTGATGGCAAACACTGGACTTCTTGGAATGTTTATCTCACAATATCCAACGGTCCCAGTTTTCTAAGTGTGGCAATAAATGAAGGACAAAACGTCTGAACTCCGAAAATAAATACCTTTTGCGCCTAAAACGCCAGTTCTTTGAGGAAATAATGCAGATGATGCTGAAAAAAACCCAACTTCTGAAGTAGTTCCAGTTACGAAATGTATGAATGATTCACTCATCATTAAGAAGCACTCCCACATTCACAGAAACTTTTCATAACCCAAGGTGAATAAAATCAGAGCATCCAAATAGTAAAAAATAAATCTTCGGTAAAATTAATTTCATTCCGAACAAGAGCACCATCAGTATTGGTCGCGATTTCACTTCTTAACTGCTGCGGTTTATGCTTTGATTTCGTTAAATTCATGAATGTGGTAAGTTTGGAACACGGAGTGTTACTCTTCCAGATACCTACGACTAATCTTAATAATTGGTGGAACTTTTGAGAGCGCTTGGAGAAAATAATGGCAAAGTTTCCATCAGTGACGGTACTTTGCACACGCCAAGTAAGGGATAGGAAAAGTAATTATCGTTTAAAGTCTATGCAGCAGTTTTCAGTAAGAAGGCAGATAAAGACTTCATTTATGACTCCATCGAAACTGAAGTCACTACCAATCAAGTTGGGTTTAGTCAGATATAATATCCCATGTTGAGAGTTACGGAGAACTTTAAATCCCCAAAGCCACAGTTCTAATAACATTTAATGTTATCATTTTCCTGGACATCCAAAGCCTCCGATTTCCAGCATTCCTTTCCAAGCAGCGAAAATCTGACAAGCAGGTGCAATCAGTAAGACTAATTTTAAATATTGTACTCAATGTTTTAGAATACCTTCATACAAGCATCTCTAAGAGTTAATTATTCCTGTCAATAAACTGATGGACAAATACTCAAAACTGTAACCACTAATAACGATGGTGACAGACACGATTTTCCACCATTCAACTCATACAGCCGTATAAGAGCCGATTTACATTTATCATATGAATTGATTACAAATAGTAGTAGCTGTAAGAGCTGCACAGTGTGTCCATTCTTACTTGATTTTATCCGAGATGTACTAATGGATGTGACACTAATCGACTCTGCGAGCTAAGGGAAGGACTTGTTACAGGGGGACATTCTCTTTGTCTTAGAATATGAATGTATAGTAGTTTTCCTAGGTGGAGTCGTCGGCAAAATCCAATATGTGAACACCTCGAGCAGAAACTTAAGAATATTTGGTGTATGATTCACCCTTGTTAAGTATAAAATAACACCGTGCGACTGGTCTTTACTACCTCTTAGCCTAAGGATAAGAAGTGGAACGGTCAAATATGTTGACCACTTCATCTTGTCGATGGAGTTGCATCAATGGTGATGGATCAACTGCCGACGAAATCTGAGCACGGACACAAAAGACTAATCTGGCACTTGGCAATTTGCAGCATCTTTGGCGCATGCGTGATATTTGGCTATCTACCAAAGCACATGTGTACTGTGCTGCAGTTTACTCCTCCCCACTTTACAGCCGTGAGAAATGTGCATTGAAAGTGGAAGATATGAAGAGAGCACATGTATTTGCATTCTATCTGTTAAGTGGTATAATATAGTGAGAAATATCGATGTTAAGTAAGGAGAGAAAGTCAGTCGATGAGGTTATGAAACTAGGACAGACGTTACAGCTAGTGCATGTGTTACGCATAATAAGCCATCGACTTGCTCATCAGACTAGCTGATATAAGAATAACATCAATCCATGTAGTCCTTGACAGTTGCTTTGCGGGACAGGGAGGTAGAGACTGTTTGGCTGTGCTCTTCAAGACACTAAGAACCAATAACTGAAGACTGTTTATAATATGCTTCAAAATCGCCCTCAAGGAGACAGATGCATCTAGTCTTTGCAATCTCCCAGACCCGTTTATACCTTAACATTTTTCTCTTAACTGTCGCCTTTACCTCATATTTCCGTTGGTTATAGTTTTTTTATACCCTCTTTTTTACTTCTATGTCTTCTTATATGATGTGTAAAAACTTGAACTGCTTCAATTTTGTGCAAAGTTCAACTTTGAAGAGTTATTCTGCTTTCCAATATTGAATGGAAACAATATTGAAGTCATTTCTAAATAATGAATACTTCAAGGAGATGTTCGTCAGTTTCAAATTTTAAAGTTGAATTTGCACACAAATGTTATGACAGGACGGCTTGAAGTTGACCTCTAAACATCATTGAATTTGATGACGCA